TTTTTTTTTCACATTCTGTCTCTCACAGTTGAAGTGTACCTCTGGTGCAAATTACTGACCTCTGTCATCATTTTAAGTGGGGGATGTGTCTGGTAGCATTATTTAAAAAAAAACAAAAAAAACAAAGTGGGTTTTTTTTGAAGGGCCAGTGTAAGGCATGAAAATGTCTACGCTATGCTGTAGAGGTTTAAGATATGGTAATATGGCAAAATCTCCAACATTACGGTCACCAGAGCATAAAACAGGATAGGTCAAACTATCAGACAGGTCTCGAACAGGCCAACCACTTAGTCAAGTTGACTAAGCCACTGTAATAGGAGTGTCCTTGACATCCAAAGCGTCAGTGATAATCCCTCACAGCACAAGAAAGCATAGTCGAAACAGTAAGTGAACAAAAAGTTGCTCTACAAACTGTGTTGTCCTATCAACAGTGGGACCCCTGCTTCCCTTCCAGTTATGATACTGCAAAAGACTGTGGCAAGTAAAGTAAAATGTAGTTATTACCACAGGAACAACAAAAAACAAAAACTTACAAAGTAACTTAAATGACTTAAATGATTGTAACTGTACTGCAACTGTCTTCACAAATATTCACAAACCAGCCAGCTGAGCCTTATTTTATTTAGAGGAGTTGTGTCAGATGTGCAGCACGGATGCTACTGTCTTTGCCTTTGATCATCTATCAGGACTCATAAAGACCCAATATTTACTGAATGATGTGTCTGAAGTGTCCAGTGTAACAAATATTACTAAATTGGTAGTGAAGTGGTATAAATGGAAATTAAAATTCAGAGTTTTCTCCACCGGAGGATTTTGTACATATAACAAACAATGCACATTAGCATCATTTGTTACTGCCATGTCAAGTGTGCCTGATGTGGGTGTAATATGAATATTCTGCTTATTGGATTTAGACAAAAATGCCAGCCAACTGCCTCTGGAAGACCTCTGGAGATACAGAACACAGGCAGAGCATGAAAAACATTTAAAACAGGCTACAAAACACTCACTTTTTCATAGATATGAGAAAGAATATCAAGATAATTTAAAACATGTAAAGTTACACGTTAAAATGCACTAAGACCTAAAAAGAAAGCGGAAAAGTCAAAGTAAGTTGTGCATTTTCTGCATAGGAATTACATTTTGACCAATAAATTAGCCCACATGTTGTTTCTTGTGGGTTGTAATACACGTTTTGTTTTCCTGGTTAGCAAATGTATGTTTTGTTCTTTTCTTACCTCCATTGTACCTATCTTTGTCACAGTACTTAAATAAACAAGTTATAACACATTTATATTGCGTGCTTTTACTAATATGCAGCGGCTCTATCTGATGAACTTGAACTGCTTCTCTTGAGATTACTGTGCATGTAACTGGTTTTCTCAGAGCTGGATCTCAGTATTGAAAAGAAACCATGAGTAGCATCACAACTGTAATATGGTTTGCAGTTTAAGTAGTTCTGTTTTGTGTATCCCAATTAAAGCAATGGTGGCAGATGTTTGAATATGGTTTATGTAGATAATTAAAAGTCTGAAAAGTGAGGATGTTTATTATATTGAATGAAAAACTTTACAATTTTACATATATATATATATATCTGTAAATTACTTCGTATTGCTCAATTAGCTGCTTGAGGCAAGCAGTCTCAATTGTGTCAGAAGAATTTACTGATCTTATACCTTAAAACTGTAATTCATGATTTTCTCTGGATTTAAGATTCCCTCGCCGAGTTAAAAACAACAACAAAAAAACACCTTCACATTAGATTGTGCACTTCCTCTTTCAGCTGTGTGGGGGGGCCCACAGCAGATTATCCATCTTATTCTATCCCTACCACCTGCTTTCTTAACTATCTCTCAAAAACACTGCACCTGAGCTGTCCTTCTGATATACTCATTTCTCACCCTGCCTATTGAGGTCACGTCCACTGAAAATCTTTGCATCCTTAACTCTGACATTGCCCTCAACCCCCTCAATCTTACTTGCGCTCACTTCTTCACCTCTATTCACTGTGTGTTGGCTTTACTAACTAGCATCTTCACCATTCCCCCTGCCTCCCTCTCAGTCACATGTTAGGTATTCTCACCGTTTTAAAATACTTTTAAATGACCAAATCTGTAGAAAATGCAGCAGCTGAGTCACTGATAATGCAGTCACAGAGAGCTAATAATTGGGGGGGGGAAAGACAAGCAAAAAGCAAAGCACCACAAACCCTACACATAGAGGCTTTGGATCTTGTCTAACTTTAGCACCAAGTTGGAAGGCCTGGCAAAACTTGCATCAAAAAACCACTTCTCATTCAGAGTGATGGATTGTTTACTTGTCAGAATTAGATTTTCTCATTAAGTGATAAGAGACCAAATATGGCAACAAAGATTTCAACATGACTTCTTGCCGCAAGCACGTAACCACTCTGACATCTGACACTGTGATCAAAGGAGGATCATTTGCACAAACCTTGGCCACTGTAAACACCCTTAAGGAACCTCAGTGTGTTGCTGAACAGCTAGGAGGATGTAGTGTGAGGAGGATACATCACCCATGAAGTAGGGACAAACACAAAGTGGCAGAAATCCAGAAACCTGTAGAACAGGGAGATTATTTTATAGAATCTATTCAGGTGATCTGACATAAAAGTTGGTTTGGTCTTCTTACCTTTTACTCGTAGTGAAATCTTTTTTTAGGTGAAGGAGGCAAAGACTGCGGACTGGCTTTAAACCCCCCCCCCCCCAGCTTGCATCACTTTAAGAGCGGACCACTGAAACTTGACACTTGTCTTATGTTAAACCTATAGTATGCCCCTACAAGTCAGACATTCTTACTTATATTTAGCAACCGTCAGAGGAGCCACCGGCAACTGAAATAATGCCATATCTGAAAGATGACGCAACACCTCTGAAATAAATCCTATCTTTATTAAGTCTACATTTCAATTATGTTGAGACAGCCAAGGAGGCAATGACTAAAGTCTGGATTTTTATTCAACACTGTGATTTGTGATGTTTGAATAGGTCCCTCACACACACACACACTGGTATGATCTTAAATCATGTTTCTATACCTTTTTTCTTTAAAAAAGAAAATGGTTTCGTTTACACTGTACCTTTGCTTCTGTTTGTAGCAATATATCGTAACAAATACAATGACAAAGAAGATAGTTTTTAACATTTCTTCTTTTAAGAGGGAGAAACCAAAATACTTATCCAGTACTAAATTCACAATGGTACAAATAAATAATAATCTCAATTTGATCATCTCTTACTGAACAACAAGCAAGGTTGATCAAAGTCTTAACATTTCTAAATCTAATAGGAATTAATAATTGTTGGACAGAGAAAATGCTGCATTAAAACAGCATCACTGCTTCAGCATACTAACAAGATGGTGGCATCTAGTGGTGAAACACTTTTAGCTCAAACAATGTGGCCTGGCAAGAAGATCTTTATTTTAAAATTAGATTTCAACACATCAAAATGAATATTTGCAGTTTTAAGATGGTTTTCCGGAAGCCTATGTACAACATACTGAAGGTTAAAATTGCAATTTAGCGTTAGAAAGTCTCTGGAGTATTTTGTTCCACGAGGAATCTAAAACGAGTGAGCACAATAATACGACAAATAACAAAAAAGCTAGACAAATTCCTTTAAATGCACACAGATTCATATAAAAAAGTCACTTTACTTTTCACAAATGCAAAAACAACAGACATCCATAAACTGCATTAATACCTGCATCAGCTAAATGAAACTATATAAAACTTCTGAATATGTTTAATTGTTGAGATGAGATATTTTTAACTATCTAAAAATAAAATTATGTACACTGTAAGGCACTTGTGGCAGCCAAAATATTGTGTACATGAAAAGGCAAACCTCGTCCATGTTAGAAAAGCATACAATCACATTTAGGACTAATTATGACATTTTTAAATCAACATAACAAATTAGCAGTGCAATAAATATTTACAGTCGCTCTCTGGTTTTTTTAAAGATCAATGCTGCATCCTTGTTGTACTTTGTTCTCTTTAGATTTTTATTTCACACAACCAGGCTCTCCCGACTCACAGCTCCATTCTGCAAAACAAGAAAACTCATTAGCTCACCCAATAAACTAAAACAGACTCTCTTGATCAAAAACAAGCAATGTGTCATTGTCCCTGAAGATGTATTAATAGAGTAATTTCAGTATTGACTTTTGCCTTTTCATAAGAAGTAAGAACAAAATTATCATCAAACCAATACACTTACAGCAATCTCAACTTCTGTGACTCACCTTGCGGAGGTTGCTTTTCTTTTCATCTTCACTGTAAGGCGGTGGTGGTGGAGGCGGGTAGTCATTGTGCCGGCCAGGGTTTCCAGAGGGTGGGTTCACAGGTAGTGGAGGTGGCCCACGTGCCCCCCTCCCCCGATCTGAGCGGTCGCTCTCGCTGTCCAATCGCTCCTGGCTCCGCGCCCTCTGCTGCTCACCCATCCTCTTCCTCTCCATGGCTTCTCGTAGAAAACTGTCATCGTAATCCTCGCGCCCGCCCCTTGCACCACCACCATACCGGCGATCCCTCTCCAGATCCATTATATCGTCACGACTGTGGCTGCGCCGTCCTGGGAGATCCCCGTAGGCTCCACCCTCTCCTCTCCGGCGATCGGGGGAGTAGTCACGACGTCTGCGGTCATCATAGTCACGATCATAGCCATTCCGGGCGCTGCTGCTCCACCCATCATCAGAGCTAAAGAAACACAAAACAGCACATTGAATTTGCTGAACTGTTTTCAGCTACTGTCGTGTTCCGAGTCTCACTTTAAAGTTCAGGTGATGTTTACAACCAAACATCTGTAATTGGTAACAGGTTAACTACTCATGATACTGTGACTCCACATGGGATGGAGGTTATGGTTCCCAAATGTCCGTATGTCTTATCAACATTACATATAAATATCTTCTTTGCTCAAAAAAAAAAAAAAAAAAAAAAAAACTAAAGGAAAACTTTAGATCTGTATACAGAACTGGGTATACATACTAGACTGGATCATGTGCTAGTAGTGAAACGATACCAACCACATCGCTTGATGGAAATGACGATTATCAACCTACAGAGGGTTGAATTCAAACACACCCCAAAAAAGTTTTGTTTGTCCATTTTGTTGAAATTTCATTGCAGCAACACAAAATGGTACTCAGTAGTTTGTATGGTCCCCATGTGCTTGTATGTATGCCTGAGAATTTCAGGGCATGCTTCTAATGAGACTGGTGGTGTCCTGGGGGATATCGTCCCAGATCTGGACCAGGGCCTCCCCTGACCATCATTGAGCCACCACCATCATGCCAAATCATGTTACAGACAGCATAATGTCCTCCATGCCTTCTCCAGACCCCTCCACATCTCTCATATATGAAAATAATTTAGGTGTTTATTTAAATATCAGCTTCCATATGAAATATATACATTACATCTCAAAGAACAAAGGAGCATGAAGGTACAAGGGTGCAGACCACAGAGCTGTCGGAATGCTACTACACAATCCCAGCAGAAGAGGTTACATGAAGAAGATGTGGGAATTATGGAATCTTCAATACCCGACATCTAGACTAACTGTGAAACAACTAGTAGTTCAGTGCAACATCTGGAAGAGGCAACTGATATCACAACTAGAGATCAATGAGGTACAACACAAATGCTATGGACGGGGGTGGGGGGGAAGGACATCAAGTTTGAGATTGGGTACCAAGGCCCAACAACAATTAGTGCGCTTAAGGTGTTCAGTGTTGAGAACACGACAAAGAAATAAATTTTGAGCTTATGACTAACAGTGATGTCTGAAATCTCTGTGAAACTTTACTAAATGACTTGCTGCACATATCTTCAAACATCAAGCCGATGACAAAAGGTAAATGGTGTGATATGCTAATACGGATCCTTTCTTTAGTGAGCTTGCGTGGAAAGTACATGCATCACCGAAGATGTAAACCACAAAAAAAAAAAAAAAAAAAAAAAAAAAAACTAGGGCAAATTTGTCAGCTGCACTTTGTCATCAGGCTAAATTAGTTTACAATTCCCTTCACTCTGATGAAACACATTTGGAAATTACCTTGAGCCAAGGCTTAACTAGGCAGACATAGTTGACTGTTTGAACAAAAATGACACAAGACCTGCTAGAATTTCTGTGCCAAGATATCTAATTTATTCTTATATATTTAAGTTTGATAAAGTGATAACATTGTGATACTGAAAGGTTGCGGTTGAACTGACACTATGTGTGGGTGACTGAACATTTCAGTTAAACAATTTGCACATGTCTCTCCATGTATGTACATGGTTCATCTTTATACTAAGACAATTACTGTGAAATTTCAATGATGCTGCACATGGTACAGATTATGCTGAAAAAAAACTCTGCTAAATGATGTGATGATGGCAACAAGGAGGTTACTCGAGAAACTAACACTCACCCTCTTCCTCCTCTGGAGTCTGGGCGGCGTTGTGGTGGGTAGTCGTCTCTGGGGTATCGCCGTCCAATATCGTCAAGATTGTCCATCGAGCGGGAACGTACGCGGTTCTCCATGTAACCTCCTCTTTGTTGCGGATAATCATCACGGCGGCGGCCTTGCTGGGAAACGCTGCTGATGGTGCTCATAGCTTCATCATGGTCATACACTGTGGGGAGATGCGGGGGCTGGGAACGACCTCCGCGGTTTCGAGGCTCAGATCCACTACTGTCGTGCAAGGAACTGACTTCAGTCATGTTGTCCACTGAGACAGGAAAATTGAAAAAGAAATGCAGGTCAGAGGAAATAAAATTGAGTTTAGTAGAAGGATCAGAAAAGTAACAACATGAAAGCTCTGCAGCTATCAATGGGCCACAATCAGTAACAATTGTTGTAATTTATGTACCGTAATTGTTGGGCTATAAGCCGCTACTTTTTGCACAAGCTTTGAACCCTGCGGCTTTTAGTCAGGTGCGGCTTTTCTATGGATTGTCCATGATTTTTGTGATATCGTAAGAGGATTTGTTTTGTTTGTTCCGCTGTTGTACAGCACTACGTTGTAGTGTCGGTCCGCCAGGCAACATAGTGCCGTACGAAGTAGCGCGAAAAGCAAACTTCAAAGTAGCGCTACGCGTTCAGTGGGAGGCGTGGATGATGAGCGACGATAAACTTGCGAAAAGCAAGTTATGCCCAACTCCACCAGTGGATTCTGACAGCGTGGAAAAGTGTGAAAACATCCACGATCACCAACGGATTTCGAAGGGCTGGACTGCTGCATGATGGAGAGGAGGACACCGCCACGGCCCTTCTGAGGGTGTTCGACTCTGACACTGACAACGAGGATTTCTTTGGTTTTGAAAGTGACAACGAAGGAGAGAAGCGGAGAGTGGATGACAAAGCCATCCTGAGCCTGTTCGTATCCGACACTGGAGAAGAGGACTTTGGTGGTTTTAGTGCGCAGGAAGAAGAGAAAGATGGTGGTGAATGACTGACTTTTCTTCTTGTTAAAGCTGTGTCACTGCACCTGAGCCTAAAAGGTAGTCCGAATCTATTTTTCTGGTGTGCTGTAGGTTATTGTTATGTACTACATTTGTTACTCTTTTATGAAGCACAGTACATGTTTCGTACTTGTAATTACCGCTACTTGTACATATACCTAAAAAGTTATGCAAATATGTACCCATAACTTGTTTTTCAAAATATTAATAAAAGAGGTGTGTCTCCAAACAGCCATCTCTTTCCTGACAATTCGCTTTGTGCATATTCTTTTACATATGATAAGTCAACATTGAGACACCTGTGGCTTTTAGTCAGGTGCGGCTAATGTATGTACAAAACAGGATTTTCCCCTGATTTTAGCTTGTGCAGCTAATATTCGGGTGCGCTTTGTAGTCCAGAAAATACGGTAATTTTATTTTGTATTACTAAATGCAGTCAGTTTTCACGTACATGACTGCAGAATGTGACATATTGTTTTCTGGGTAACATTTACCAGCTACAAACCACAAGTGCGGAAAGTGGTAATGACAAATGAAACGGGAAACACATGACATCACATACTGGTTTTTCCCCATCACAACCACAATTCCAGAGTAAGACAAGCAGTCTCTCTCTGTCTGTTCTAACAAAGCAAAAATCTTGATGAGTGTTGATGACAGATTTTACATACATCTCTCTCTCTCTCTCTCTCTCTCTGGAAGACAGAAATTATATGACCATTATATATTATCAGTCCACTAAAACTATTAGATAGAACTATTAGTATTTTAATTAATTAAAAAAATAGAATATTTACCATTTGGCTTAATTGTGTCAGACTCATGTCAGACAGAAAATCTTGGAGTTAATTTAGCATTTACATTTATCTGACTTTCAGTTGAATCTTGTTATCGATTACTGGCTTCAACGATCATAATCTACTGTATTATTTAACCAAATTGTGAGGACGAAAACCGAAGTTAAGATTTTTATCTGCAGTTATTTTTATTTTTATGATTCATGTATTAATATATATTATCCCTGTTTAATAAAGATTACTGCACTTAAACCAAAATTCAACCAATCAATGTATATAGGACTTCCAGCCACAGAATCTAATATAGTCTGCCACACAGGAATAATAGGAAGCAATCAGTTACTCACAGCGCTGATAGTTGCCAGGCCTGGATGGATCCATATTGGCAAGCTCCCTCTCCATATAGTAAATGGCACGCGTTGCGTTCCCGTCAGGGTCCACCTGGATTCGAAAACCACTGCGAGCTGAAGTGAGGAGAATAAGTTCAAATATAGTGAATGATTTCAGCTTCTTTCAATATTTGCATACTCTTATCAAAACCATCAAAAAATGCTTTCATATTTGTGACAAGTTGAAATCCCTTTATTGCACAGGTTTGTCATACATTGTTTTTTTTTCTTTCATATGCGCTGCTTTGTTTATGAGAAGCTGTAAATTATTGACATTTGATTAAGAGTATAATCAACAAAGATGTTTTGTTTACAAAACTTTTTTACCAAAAGTGATATTTTTTTCTGGGTGAAGAAACACCAGAGTCAGCATGATGCTATTAGAGGAACTAAGAGAACTATAAAATCTTTATAATTTTGTCAGTATTGCAACATTAGAGTAAATATAAGCTTTGACAGCACAATTCTGCTCTCAGTGCATGGAAAACAAAATTATTTGCATTAGATACAATTCACTGCTAATCTATATTTTACATATAACTTTATGTATAAAGACAGTCATGCAACAGTGAGACCTGAACGAAGTAGATGAAGCATACTGGCCTAGCAACATGCTAAGCTAATATGCATCAAAAGGTGTTCTACAGATTTAAAGTGGTGTTAAGACATTTGAGCTCTTCCAAAAGTAGATGCATAAAATCCTAAAATATAATAAAATGTTTAATAAATGTATACAACAAAATCAAATTATCAATTTTACATTTAAAAGACAACTTCAAACACAAATATCCACGTATATAAAAAAATGTGAACAGACTAAGCAGCTGTGTCACACAAATACAGTTTTTTTTAAATGCACACATACATTGTGGGTGGAATCCCACTAGTTATGTGAACATAACCACATCAAAGTAAGATGAGAGTAAGAATGCAAAGAATCAGTTTTAGGTGAGGTGAGGTTTTAAATATATCTTCTCACTTTAAATTTGGTTTATATTCATAATTTACCACATCAAGTGAGGGAATTCCTCAAATCTGAGAGATAATACTGATTAAAAAATAAATAAATACCCCACCCACATAAACAAAAAAAAACATTCACACCGCAGTGTACTGTACACCTGTTTGGGTGTGGGTGGGTTAATTCCTCCCCCCAACACACACACACACACACACACACACACACTCTACTCACTGTTGTCCCCTCGGTCTTGCTCACGTAGCAAAGGTACCTGGGAGCCGTGTCCCACTACAGAGAGAACAAAAACAAAGCAAATTTGAACAAGCACTCCACAAAGCTAATCTCTGCACAAAGTAAAAACCTCTGCGTTGTTATTATGAAACTCATATTCAACAGTTAACTGAATTTTCCTACTCATGGCTGCAGAAGTACAACACATTATGAAAACTGCAACAGACAGTAATCATTGTGAACTTTCAGGTTTGTAATTTGTATCACCTACCTGAGCTAGCACCATCATATTCATGACCGTAACCACTCTGAGGCAGCTGGGCTCCAACCCCATTAGGTACAGGAAGTAGAGGCATACCAGGCTGCATGTATGGTGGCTGACCATACATACTCTGAGCATAGAGGGTGGAAGCATATTGATCCCCCATACCTTTCTTTACTGCTTTTCCTGCCTCATACACTGCAAGACAATGGAACAGAGTTGGTTTTAAGCATGTTGGTGAAAGATGACATCAACTGCTGGAGACTGTAAAATTATTAGCAGTTTAAAATTTGTGATTTTTCTGTTGAGAGTTAAAACAGAACAGATAATAGTTTACTGTCTTTCCATTAAATAAATAGAGGTATTCTGTTAACCCTTTTAGGAAATACCCCAACTTCCCATTGAGTCAGTGTACTTTAAAAACCATGCCCACTGGAGGGGAAAACAGTCTGGCTTACAAACATGCAAATGAGGGCTGAAACAGTAATGCATTACCTTAAACTTGTTTTAAAAAAAAAATCTAAAAGAAAATGACTTTTCCAGTTGAATATTTCAGTACCTGAAGTCCAGTTAGCTTTTAAAATATGTTAACAAGATGATGCTGTTGGCTGAGCATTACACGCACTCTACTAAAAGAGAAGTTGTCAAAATGTTTCCTCTGTTTGATTTATTAGTATAGGCTCCCACCACAAAATAAGCTCACAGTCATTTTCTTTTCTCTCTTTTGCTAACAGGCAAAATTGACTAGGAGGCTCCCTCAAAACCTTTCCCCTCCAGTTTGTTCAGGGTTGTCTCGATAGGAAACCAAACTAAAGTGAACCGTTTCCTGGTTTAGGATCATATTTACATTTTAAACATAGTTATGGAAATTTAATTAATAAAATTAATTGCTTCCTGCAATAAATTTAAAGCTGAATGCTCATCCACTTCCCACCATCCAACTGTGTGTAATGTGTGTGAAACAGACATAGTGAAACCAAGTGACATAAAATCACTGTTACTAAAACAATGTGACCAATACATCAATGAAAAAAATTCAACCCTCCCCCCCTCAAAAAAAAAAAAAAGACCCACACACAAATTTGTGCAAGCTGGCGTACAAGAACTCTCCCTATAGTGAATTGTACACTGTACTATTAAAGTTATGATCTCAAAATGCACTGATACTCAATGGAACAGACGCATTTGAGTCTAAAATGGGATTAAACAGTAATAATAAATGTGGTTAAAGAAAGTTATGCACAATTTTATTGGCTTTTCCGTTTGATACTTACATGCTCGTGGACAGCAGCAGCGATCTGGGCAGCAGGGGCAACTGACATAACAGCAGCAGGTGTGTGGACAACACTGGCACCAGCAAATCCCAATCAAGAGGACCAGCAGAAAGAAGCCAAGGACCACCAAAACAACCAGGAGCCAGTCTGCAAAAGACCAACAATTAAATGCATTTGTTTAAAGATTTAAGATTTGACATTTCTTCTTCAATTGCTGACATAGTCCAGGAGAAAAAAAAACACATGAAATTCATGTGAACCTGAACTACAGCTACAGTGGTCCACATTTCCTTTATTTGTGTATTACATCAACAACAGAAAACACCTATACTGTATATGTAAATGCATCTTAACAATAACAGTCATAACAGACGAGACAGTTCCACAAGATAAGACTTACATGCCATTTTTGTCATTTACATAAACAACACATGTTGGCAACCATGGTGACTTTTAAAAGGTTTAAACCGGTAAAGCCGGTTCACAAGTCTATGCATGCAGCTCATAAAAAAAACAACAGAGAAAGAAGTGACGTACATAAGTACATCTCTGTATATTGAAATGAATCAACTAAAATGCAAACTGTGTTAGCAGTGTGAAAAACATAGGGCTGTGTACACAGAAAAAGGGAATGAGGGCTGAATGTACTTTGGTAACAGGCTGCCTGTACTCACACTGAAAGTTAGATATGCAAACATGGGAATTGAGTCACACTAAAGAAAGAAAGGCAGATAACAGCATAATGGGATATTAAGGATGCCAGTAAACAGCAAGTAAAGCAGAGCAATGCATAAACCTATATTTCTACCCAGAATATGATGTATGACCCTTAAATATAGCAACCTGGTTTCAAATTGAGTCACAGTTTCTTCCTATATGTAAAGGCACTTCTGGAGTGTGACCTTAAAAGGAATTTATCATGTGTCAGATAATTTTTTCTAGCAAAATGAGTCAAGAGTGGTTATGTTTTTAAAAAAGCACACAAGCCAATTGTACTCTTGCAAGGAATTACTCATTACTCCAACCTCATTGTTACCCTCCTGTTCTTTAAGGTTAAACCTGATAGTTCATACGCCTCTACTGTGGGACTGAAACTTGACTGAGCTATATCAAGAGGCTTGTACTACCTTCCATAACCAGTAAGTCAATGCCAGGCAGGAGGTCAGTAGAATTTGACTTTCTCTCTGTGAAAGAAAGATAAAGCCACAATTATTTTTATGTGGTCTGCTTTTGTTGCCTGCAACCTGTGACTCTAAAAACCCTTTAAGAACTCAACCTGTGATAAATACCCTCCTATCCTTTCAGCCACTTGAAAAATCTGTCACGCCAATGGTTTTGTGCATTTGTTCTCAAATATTCTAATGTGCAAGCACAAGATTGTGGGTGGGGGGAAAGAAATTGAAAGCAAAACAAAGAAGTATCTGCATAAAGTATACCTGTACCTGAATGCAGTGGCTATAAATGGAATTAACTTACCCAGTACAAGGAGCTCTGTGTAGTCTTCACTATTTCCTGTAACATCTTGAGAAGAGATGACAGAACAGAAGTAGACACCACTGTCTCCCCATGCAGTCTGTGCGATATTCAGGTCTGCATCTATGGGTAACAATTAATATTAGTACATTTTTTGTCATTGTTTTTCGATAGTTGTTATTCAGAAACTGTGGGTCTACCAGATGACCCTCAAATACATGAACTATACACTACCAAATTCAAGCTGACCCTCAAGAGGTATGTGGTTTAATTGACTCAGTCAAATCAATTAAAACATTAGAATTTTTTTTTTACTTTTTTCACACCACTAAATATTTTTTAAGACTCCATTGCTCATTTTGAAGGCCCCAGCAAGTCAGGTATCCAGCTATGACTAAGCACTCAACTGGTCGTTGAACAGGACACGTGCAGGGCAGCTGGGTTGGTTCTGCTCGTGGGTTCTTTCTTTTAAAAGGAAGTTTTTCACTTGTTATCAGGTAGTTTCCCAAAGAGGATTGTCTGTTTCTTAGGGTTTTCTTCTGGATAGTGTGGGGTCTTTATCTTGGAGTTAACAGTACCTTGAGTTGCCTTGTGATTTATTGCAATATAAATAAACCTGAACTGAAATGAATTCATATCCATCACCTTACTGTGATTTTTTTCTAGAATTATATCTACTCAGTGCCCATCATACTTCAGCACACTTTAACGTACAGCAAATAAACAGTACAGCTACAGACTATTGTTATTAGCAATTCATTACCCTGAGATTTATCAAAAAAAGAGCAGCAACCTAGCAGCACTGTTCAACTTATAAGAAAATGAGTGAGCCCATCAAAAATACCCATGTTTCAAATCAGTTTGAAAACAAACAAACAAACAATTGGACTGAAATATGCCATCCCTTTTGTATTGAAAATAAGAGTGAAATAGATCTTTGACAAAGTCACCAATTCTGTTCATAATTTTTATGGACAGAATTTCTAGGCAAAGCCAAGTGGTGCAAGGCTTTCAGTTGGGTGGTCTCAGGATCTCATCTCTGCTTTTTGCGGATGATGTGGGTTTGTTGGACTCCAGCTCGCCTTGGAATGGTTCACAGCGTCAGCATCTCCAAATCTGAGGCCAGAAAATTGGTGGAGTACCCACTCCGGGTCAGGGACGAGTTCCTGCCCCAAGTGGATGAGTTTAAGTATCTCGGGGTCTTGTTCACAAGTAACGAAAGAAGAGAGTGGGAGCTCGACAAACAGATTGGTGAGGCAGCTGCAGTGATGCGGACACTGTACCAGTCTGTTGTGGTGAAGAGAGAGCTGAGTGTAAAAGTGAAGCTCTCAATTTACCGGTCGATCTTTGTCCCTACCCTCACCTATGGTCACGAGCTGTGGGTAGTGACCGAAAGAACAAAATCGCGGCAGAAATGGGCTTCCTCCAAAGGGTGACTGGCCTCTCCCTTAGAGATAGGGTGAAATGTTCAGCCATCCGGGAGAGGCTCAGGATAGAGACGCTCCTCCTCCATTGAAAGGAGCCAGTTGAGGTGGTTCGGGCATCTGACAAGGATGCCTCCTGGGTGAGGTGTTCCAGGCATGTCCCACCGGGAGGAGACCCAGGACACGTTGGAAAGATTATATCTCTCTGCTGGCCTCGGATTGCCTGGGTGTTGCCCTGGAAAAAATGGAGGAGGTGGCTGGGGAGAGGGAGGTCTGGGCTTCACTGCTTGGGCTGCTGCCCCCGCGACCCGGCCCCAGATAAGCGGAAGAAGATGGATGGATGGATGGATGGATGGATGGATGGATGGATGGATGGATGGACAGACAGATCTTTGAATAGTAAGACTTAAGACTACAGAACAGTAAGATTCTTTACATTAGTATTCCTTCTTTTCTCATACAAATTCAGTACATCTGAACAGAACATATAATAGAAAAAAAGTGATATATAGCTCTCATGTAATGTGAAACTAGGGCTGTTCGATATAACGATATATATCGGATGACGATATAAAAACATCTATGTTTCATTTTACGCTATCATTTGTTTCATGGTGTTGCAAAATAAACGTTTATGTTTCATCGTTGTGATGGTCATTGTAGTGGCTATATTGATTTCTTAAAGTTCTCTCTTTCTCTTATATTTAATTTAAACACACTACGGATGGACAAGCGCCTGTTTTTATGCTTTGTCATTATCAACAACGATGGTAAAACCATTGCGTGTCCGCTTGTTTATTTTCGACATAAACCTTTCACAATAAAGCTCAAGATCCTGTTGAGACTTTTCAAAATAAACTGAATCACGTGAAAGAGTATGCAGAGTATTTACGGATGAGAAGGAAAAAAGAGCCGCCAGGTGCTAAAAAATAAACCTTAGACTCAAATGTTAGAACAGGCTTTTCCCTGCAGCACGCCGTGTAATAAATACTCACAAAGAAAACGGCGGCCGTTACAACTTATGTCTAAAAATATATCGTTTCATGCATCGGTTCAAACACTCGACTCCAAGTACACGACGCCCAGCTGGAAACACTTCACGAGTCAAGCTGCCCGCGATTCACAGAATTTACAGAAAATGTAATTTTTTTTGTGCTTTGTATCGTTATGACGTTATGACTTTATGATAGATGTCTTATATTGGGATATGAGATTTTGGTCATATCGCACAGCCCTATGTGAAACTACTGCAGAGACAGGCAATTTATTTTCTCAGGTGGCTAAATGAGAACCTGGTACTGTTGTGAAGGGTCCCCACCATTAAACTGGACTCAATTCTGCTCAATATTAATTCAATCTTTTTAAATGTTATTGGTATGGCCTTCCACAACAGACCCAATTTCTCTTGTGGCCCCTTAGGAAAATTAAATGTACACCCTCGCAGTGTTTACGCATTTTCCAGATTAATTACAACAGAAGAAGGAATTACTGACAGACATCTTGATTCATGCTCAAGCATCCGGGTAAAGAAATCCCAAAATATTGAGCTGTTCATCTGCATGTAGCGTTTTAAGTAGAAGAAATATTTCATCACTCATCCAAGTTTTCAAAATGCTATGTCCAGATGAACAGCATGAACATTTTGGTAGTGCTTACAGACTAACATGTCGTGCCAAGGCTGTTACATATCTTAATAGGATTTCAGTGTATTAATTAACCAACTTACTGCCGGTTATGCTGATCTTGCGCTCCTGGTACTCAGGGCCAAGGGTAACTGCAGTGCCTTGCTTGGAGGCCACTATTCGCACTGTTCTCTGGTTGTCTGCACACTCAATGGTGGGGTTATAGTTGGGGTTGTTTTGAGACAGAATGTTGTCTGCACTGCTGGGATTGAGTGCAGCCTGAACCGGGTCCCGACAGTAAGACTTATACTTCCACGTTACAATAGGGAGCTGAGTGGCCGTTGTCTGATACTGACAGGTAAGGGTGACAGGCTGGAAGAGAATGACGACATACCTCTTGGTAGGACATTGAACTGACACACCCATAGTGGATTCTAGAAAGAAAACAAAAATATAAGTTAACAATGAAGATTGAGACAAATTATGTATTATTACTGTGATTATCATGATCATGTTTCTGACATTTAAAAAAAGGCATCCTACATCCTCTAGTATTCCCCAAAGGCGTGGCACGAGCCAAACACCATTTCTTCACTTCTAGTATCACCGAGAGTACATGTAATGAGTCACCTCATCTGTAATGAGTCTGGCTGCATGAGCTCCAACCACTATAGCTTTAGATTATTATGGCTACGTTCTGATAACACAGAACTACAATTAAAGGAAGTTTTGAAGTCTATGTCATGTCTTTACAGTTAGTTAAAAAATACTTTTTTATCCAAGTATGTGATACTTGAAGATGTTGACTAGTTAGTGATAGTGACATTATAATTCAACAGGTTTACTATATACAGCCCTAAGTAAGGCCCTCAACAAGCCTTAAATCACCACACATGAGTTATAGTGGACGTTTTTGTTTATAAGAATGCAACATCATACAAAAACTACTCGGCTCCCTCCGCTTTCGTCTGCATTTCTACTGCACTTAGTTATGAGTTATATTATTTTATCCAAAGGCTATGCGTTGGATACCAATTCGGCTTCCTCTCAATCAAATTCAGTTCCCCAATATTTAAAGTTTACAAATAAAACCAACACCAACCCACAAGGCTTCAAAAAGGTGTATTTAGCAAAAAAAAAACCAACAAAAAAATAAAAAAAATCTTTTCTACCCGCATTTTTTCAACTAAAAGTTTGTTTTTTGTAAATATGTCGAATAATAACAATATCAGTAATAATAATAACAAAAGAATTACTTTGAAAATAGGATTCATAAATGGTTTTATTCATATTAATCTATTTTTTATTTTATTTTTGTTTGTCTGCGAGTGCATTATATTAAAAACTACCGAGAAGAAAGAGCCATTTTAATTTTATGTCCCAACAGGTTGTTTTAAAATCCTTGTTGTCAATTTTTTAAAAAACGTTTTCCCCCAAAACACAAACGTTAAAAGACCTCAAGCCATCAGTACAAGAAAAATGCCCACAAAAAGTTGTAATTTTGGAAAAGCTAGAGTATTTAGAAAGGCGGTTTGTATGTCAAAGTTTCCCCGGCCCCCACCCTGTTTGACAATACAGGCCAACTTACCTGTCGCCATTAGAGCGGCGAAGATTATCGTCCAGAACATGTTTAATCTTGCTTCCTCGCGGTCTCGGTAGACTTAAGTATTTTTAATTCGTAAATATACAAACAAAAACGTATTCAGGTACATGTAATTTTCCTCAGACAGATAGTAACACCTCCATTTTGCGTCTTTGTGTGTTGTAGACTTGGGAGGACCCGAACGCCCCGCAGGTGTATGCCGAGACAGGTTGCGAAAAACGGGGACGTGTGTAAGTTGTTGTTTTACAGGTGGTTGCTGATTTTTTCGGTTGACGGCGCATTAATTTCGCTACAGAAACCTAGTCGTGAGAAATGGCCAAGTTTTTATTTTAAAAAAAGGCGTTTTCTTTACGTCTTTGCCCATTTTGTGTTCGCTAAAGTGACATTTTAACCAGGAAGTACGCTACGTGTTTTACCCACCGTCTAGATGGTACAGTCTAGAAACTGATAAACGACAAGAAAGCGCTGTTTGTTAATTTTAAACCCAGGTTGTGGGAGAGAGAGAGCGTGACCTATTTCGTGGGGGCGGGCGCTTTTTATGTGATTTAGAACATTAAAATAAGCTTAATAGTATGAAAAGAAAAACAAACAAAAGTCTAGTTTCTACACTGTACAGAACTTTAACTTTACTGCTTGGGAATAGACCTATAAATGTCAGAAGTGACTGCTTACAAGTGACTTCATTTTGAAGGCTCAACTCTCATCTTGACTTCATTGTTCTCTGTTTTTCGACACTTCACTTTCACAGTCCAGGTTTTGCTTGTGGATCAGAGAGCTTCTATACATAAAATAAGACTAAAGTCTTATCAGACCGTGGGAATCTTAAAATTTGATTTACCAGGTTTAACTAAAAGAGACCATAAATTAAAGATGTTTGTCTTTATAGCGTTCTGACAAAAAATAACATTTCATATAACTGTCCATTAAAAGATTTTTAAGCAAAAATATAGGTATGGGAACAAAATACACTACATCTGCCACAGTGAAATGGCAGCACTGATCCTGCAAGCCCTAGCAGCTGAGGGATTTCCAATGATGTACACTCTTCTGATTATTAACTGAGCACATTATATTCTGTTCCAGTGTCTGTTATGAAAAAAACATGAACCATATGCAGCTTGATATGCAGATGTGTTTATAATTAAGGCCAGATATGTATATGCGTTTCAAACATAATTATTTGCTGTCAAGTAAAGCTGAAGTCTGATAAGCCAAATAAGCATGAAGGTGATTTACAGAAAAATAACCAGTTATTATGGAAATTGTTTTTCTAAAAGAAGGTGACTTCTTTGGGCTTAAGCATATGCAATAAAACACATCCTATTTAGCCATTTTGCTGTGCCAATACAGTTAAAAACATTTTAAGACAGAAAGTAAGTATCTATGAGTAAAAGAAAAAGATGTTTCAGCGTGATGTTTCATGCTGAGGGATAAATGTTGAAGATCCAAAGTCCTGTTTGAAAAAAGAGAGAAGTGTGTTAAGTGAAAATGCATTTAGCCAAAAAAAAAAAAAAAGAACCACAAAACAGTCTGCTTGTAGCCCCTTTCCATTTTTTCAATATTTGAACTAAAAATATTCTCCAATTCAAGATTTACTGGGACTGAGAATTAGCATTTTTTTTTCCAAATATATCACAAAGCTTTTCTTACAGCACTAAAAGGAAAGAATAAAATCATCTATTTTAAGATTGGGGAACTGTATTAAAATGTATAATGGATTAAATGGTGTGAAATATTTTTGGGGGGTTGGTCTATAGCTTTAGTCATTCATTCATGAACTTATTCAAGGGACCTGATATAAGGAAGTTGTGTTTCTAAGATGAAAGTTTTGTTAAAATAAAATCACACTTACTCAGAAGATCACAGTGGTCCAATCGCAATCAGAAAGAGAACTATGAAATAAAAGAAGAAAAAAAAAACCTACAGACTGCTGTTGTTCAGTCATGGTCAGCAAAACCTGGCTCTTGGCAATTTAACTTCATTGTTAAGTGACTATTGTACATGTCATAGGTTAGTATCATAATTTATACAAACCAGCCATTAAAATCAATCCAGTAGGTCCACGGTCAGGATCTGAAAAGACAAATTAAGATTGAATCAAGAATTTAAGTGTCTTATCTTCTTTTCTTTTCTTTTTTTTAAATGTACCTTCATCTTTAATGTATTAATACATTTACATCAATACAGAAATTTACTATTACACATATGTACAGTACTCAAGTAATTTATTGGATCATCACCCAGTGCAAGGTTTATGCTGCAGCTGCAGTAAATTAACAGTATTGATTATTATTAAATAAATTACATAAATATATTTAATGCTAAAATATAATTATTGTTGTTATCCATTATGTCAAAGAAGTATAACAGGAATGACTATTTGGCCATTGGGTCCCCAGCTGTTCATGTCCGCATTGGAGTGTAAAGTAGCTTTTTTACCCAGTGCACCTCACTGTGCAACAAATATGTCGTCACATCTGCTGGCATGCACCTCTTGATTTTTGTAACCTGACATGAGCTACTATCATGTTTGCTTTTAACACCAGTTTAATGATATACACCATACTCCCCAAAGTATCCACTCACCGATCCAAATCATTGAATTCAGGTATTCCAATCACTTCTGTGGGCACCAGTGTAAAAAAGCCACCTAGTCATGCAGACTGAATGACAGGATCCCACCTGTGCAACAAGTCCAGCCATGAAATTTCCTTGCTACTAAATATTACGCAGTCATCTAGTGGTGGTATTATAACAAAGTGGAAGTGAAGGCAGATGAGTGAAAACTTTTGGTGATATAGTCTATCAGTACAGAAGTTTAGAGATTCACAAATTATACAGAGGGAGAGCTTACGACAGTTTGAAAACATGAGACTCTGTGGGTTGAAAAATACCCTGCAATGTCTTTGCCTATGGTTTTGACTCTTTATATATCAGCTCTGTGTGTTAAGTGACCAATGCAAAGAGTATACTGGCACCTTTTTCTTGGTTTATGCTGTCTCCAGAAAGGCTGATCTATTCAAGCTGTTGCAGCATCTAATTCTGTATAATCTAGGAATTAAGTTTCTGTATTGATATATAATTGAAATTGAAAAATGACACAATAATAGATTCACGTTATCTGCCAAGTTGCAGCAAGGTTAGAAAACTGAGAGGTGAAGGACCAGCAGAAAGGACACCAAAGCGTGACTCGGGTCAGCAAATATAACTTCACTTTGAAAGTGTGTCACTGTATGTGAGGGTATGTCGAGCCCTTTATACCCAGAGCGCAGGATTGCTACAAACTGTTTCACCGTATAAACATGAAACATATCGTCATATAACTAAGCCTCTGTCATAATTAAGATACTCTTAGTTTGCCAAGTGTATAAAAGCGCGCATTGGTGTATTTTTTTTTCTTCCCCAGCTGTAATATATTGTTACATTCATAATCTCACCCACTAAAGCAGTTAATTATTAGTTGTATTTTGACAAACATTTAACTTCGGCTTTTATTACAGATTCAACAGATAGAGATCGCTCGTTTGTGCTCAATGTCTGCACATTTCCGGGGGAAACTCCGTTCGGACCATTTCTGCTGTTTATTCAAAATACCAGTTTTGCTAGAAATAAGTGGGGCTCGGCTATAACATGGGTTAACCGCGACTGCGCTCACAGACGTAAGCTTTCCAGTTCGTCAGTGACGCGTTCCTTTCTGATCATCTGCCCTCTGTTTCTGAATAAAAAGTCACTCCTAGAAGTATCTAACACAACTACAAACTACTCCAAACTTTGGAAATCACGGCAGCGTAAATATTTCCCCCTTGAAAGGGAAAATCCTATAAGTACGTGCTTCTTGGACTACTCGAACGCCCCCTTTCAAAAGAAAACTTCGCTGTTCCTTTACTTCCGGTTATGACTTCTTCTACCAATCGTGTTGATGTGGAGGTTTTGTCTAGCGACATCTATCATTCTATTAAAGAAATACTGCAACGAGCGCACTCGCTGTGCACTCGCTGTGCCAAAAAGGGATTTCTGATATTTGCCCAAATGATTGCCGGTATTTAAATAGTTGTATGCATGTATGTATGGCTTTTGTAGCGATTAACAAATGGTGGCAGGACAGATTACAAGTTTTACAGCCTCACTATTATTTATGTGCAGTGCTGCCCTCTTACATTCACTGTCTGGATCGGTAGCGCTGCTGCTCTCCGACTTGATGGGACGTGGGCCCCGGGCTCTCAGGGAGGAACAGCGGGGATGTCAGACGGTGGGTTTATGTGGTTGGCTCAAAGTTCGAGGATCCAAGCGGTGGGATAATGGCAACCTAATAAAAAATCTGTTAATCGCGCTGACAGGCTTTTAAACGCGCGCACCGGGTGGCCACTTCCTGAAATGCGAGTGAGTGCGCGCCTTTTCTTTTTGAAGTTTGCGATTATGGGATTGGTGCGATCTCGGGGTACGTAACGTGGGCTTAATTCTTCTCTCGCCCTCTCTCTCACTTTTAAATATATTTGTATAACAAAAATATTAATCATCACAAAAAGGCGGATCGCCAAAAAACGGCGTTACATTTTTCAGTAGCAAAACTGACCTTTAAGAACTGCTCAGTTGTGAATTTGTCGGATGTTGTTGACTCGCAAATCTACGATTTGAGACCAGGAGGAGACAAACCCAGTCTCAGTGAACTACGACAGCACGGAAAAATCGGAGGGTTGCGTCACCAAGAATTTTAAATCTGCAGTTCAATAATCAAATATGAGGATCCATCGGCTTTGGCAGACCCACTGGGAATAAATACATTATGTGAAATGATATTAATACGCAATATAATGTGCTAAATCATACGAAATTATAAGGCTTTACCACTAGGAATGAGCCCACATCCGCTAATACTGATTTAACATGCCGTTATCCACTTTAACTCCTACTCTAACATCCCAACCTGTAGTGGATACCGCCCCTAGTTTCAGTTCCATCACAATATTGTGATGTTGTCAGTTGTTGTGCTATCCAGCTCCAGCTCATAAAGGGTTATCTAAAACTTTTTTTTTCTCTATGTGAAAATAAAGTACATACTGTAATGGGAAGTCCCTCTGCTGGGCATCGGGTCAGAAGTCTTATACTGCATGCCTAAAGAGGAAGAAATACATTTAAGTAGCATAATTCTGTATGAATAACTAATTACATTTAAATAATTCATATATTGTGATTAGAAATAGAACGACTCGTTACTGTGAATTCATGATGGCACAGATGGCACATATATGCCTTTTAACCAGTTTGATACACAGCACAGTAGAAATTCAATAGCAATAAAATCTACAGCCTCCAAAATAATATTTCGCATGTACAGAGTTTATCCAGACTGCTTTAGACTGTACCGATTTAAACAGGTGCATTTAATGTAAGTCTGTGCCATATCATATTGACCATAATGCCCTCCCCCCAATATTGTCCTCCCACAAAGAGACAAGTCCGGGCATGTCTGAGAGATGAGTTAGAGCTGGGCGTCCGACTTCGAAGATGAGTTACACAGAAAAGGGACAGTAGACAGCAGAGCACAGTTCCCAGCAAAGTATGCAAGAAAACAGGAGGAGGAACTTGCAGCTGGTGATGTGCGACCCAACTAAACAAAGAGCCTGGAGTATTCACCAGTTGCGGTCCTTCTGATAATAGAGGCAAATGGTGGATTTAAACAACCAATTAAAATGTTCTATCTAAGATGCAACACCCCAGGTAGAAAATATTTTTGAGCTTTATTATGTGCCTATATTGGTTCAGGCTCCTGCAGAGTCACATGGTTATTTAGTTTATTCTGAATTTAGTGTTATTTTATACTTAAAAATTCCAGGGAAACAACACCCAGACTCTTCATTTTAAAAGAAGGTTCGAACATTCATTTTCTTACATTTATAAATGCTGCTGTCTTCAAGCTAGATGCATAATATATATTTTTCTATATCGTCAGAAATACTGTTATCATAGTTTTTTCTTGAAATATTGTGGTATCCTTTTGAGGCTTTTTCGCCCAACCCTTATTTAATACTGCTTGCTGAGTTTAAACCAGCGGAACATGCAGCACCCTAACGACAGTGACAACAGTGAATAGCGCTATTGTGTTGATCGTCGTCTCCCATTCTGATTTTTTTTAACCTTATCTACACAGTTGTCTTAACAGTTCACAGTAAATTTATAATGTTTTTATAATGTATTAGATGTATGTTATTTAAATATTTTTAAACATGCACATTCTATTTAAATTTTATTTTGAAACTTGACGTCCAGGTATATTTTAACCAGCATTTCAACAAAGCCAGCGCAGAATGGCACCTTAATGGCCTACATACATGTTTTATGGATGTCTTGAATGAGTGATCCCTTTGCTTCTGGTTGGATTCCATTAGTGTCGTTTGAGCAGGTAATGAAGACAAAATCGGACTGGCATACTGTGCAGGTTTTAGGAGTCTTAGGCACAGGCGGTGGTATTTGAGAGCATTCTGAGAAAGCTTTCTCTCCATAGAACAGGATATGGTCATTATATTCGGTATATATTATGTTGAGGCTGGGGCACTTGTCCTGATCCTTGCAGACCCAACAGTTTAGCCCATCTGCATTTAGAGAAATGGAAAATATAAATATAAACATGATTTCAGGTGTAAATGCATGCAAGTTAAAATTACATATTCTGATGGGACCTAGAATAATTCTTAGTATTCCATTTTATAACATTGTTGTAAGTCACCCCGCAATACACACCCTAAAAAGTAAGGCATACCCACGATGTAAAATGGAAAAATATTTGTTTTTCTGGTAATTACCATACAATTACAGTGTACCTAAAAATAAATTATAGTGTAATTAAATTACTTTCACGGTAACTTGAAAATATAATGTATATTCACTTTCTGGTACAATAAAATTGCAAATAAAGGGGCTCATTTAAAGTCAGATTTAATTACAGGGCAATGACGTCCTCAGTTGGGGTGTTGTATTACAAAGTGTTACCAATTTTTGAATAAAAACTTACTACAGCTTAGCTTACTCATGTTTTTAACACAGTAGATGTGCTGCAGACTAAGTATATAAATAAACTGTCTGATCAAAAATATAAAAATATAAGTAATAGTTAAAAAAAACTGCACATGTATATAAACTAGATATAAATAAATCTTTAAATACATATGAAGTACAACATACCATTAGATCCATTACAGGCAGGAAAGTTTATGATTAGAACTGCCACCACACAGAGATTGTAAACTGGAAAGAAAAAGTACGGGGCAGACTTACTCATGGAAAAAGTCACTATGAATTACTCCACGTGGGAATTTAAATAAAATTATACTCTTATTTACGTACAGCAGTTATACTGATTGCATCATATAAGGCTTTCCAGTATTTTGTCTAATCATGCATGTAAATGTAACATTAAAGAAACATGCCTCAGCAGAACTGCAATAAAATACAACAACAACTTTAACTATGTCCTCAGTGTTAAACATGCTAGATTTTTTTGGCATTTAATATATCAATCTTTATGATTTAAAATGTAATATTTGCAATAAATGTATGCATGGCAGTTTTTAACAGATGCATATTGGAAATTTAATTACCTTTCCATTTTTTCCCAACAGCTCTTTTCTTGTAGCGGTTTTGGGCCGTCACTTCTTCCACTGGTGCAGCGCTTCCTGGGTTTTCTTTGGCATCTGTGTTGGCATCCATGATGTTACCCTTATTTCCTACATCTTCCATGAGTGCCTCTGTAATGGCTGATGTTCCGGGTAAAGGCTTGAATACTTCCTCTCCCTTGCTATTATCGTCACGATCTGTGTATGTCTGGCAATTGAAGTTATTTTGCGGCCCACTTTGCATCCCAGTCAAACTGGACTTGATTAAGAATCCCTCTGTCATAGGTCTTGACTCAGGCGGGTATGGGTGTGGCTTGCTTTTTGCCATCATGGGGAACTGCTTCATGTGAAGAATGGGCCTCACACAACTCCCTGTGTCAGTTACAGGCAGGGCACTTTCTTCATACTTGTAACAGAACTTGTGCACCATGTCAGAAGAAAGACCTGCATCACTGTAATATAGAGGGGAAAAAATATTGTTTTTTGCTCCCATTTTTACAATAAGTGTAAAAAACATATTTTATTAAAGAACTGTAAAAACCATGACAAAAGCATACCCGCTCTCCTGAGTGTGTAGATTATCACCATCTTTAAGTGAAAACATAACACAGTTAGTCTACTGAAAATCATTTTCATTTGCAAAACAGTTCATTTTACAGTCCTTAGATGTTTAACTACCAAAATACAAGCATATTTTTGTTTTTCCTTTTTAAGGAAATTCTTTTAATGAGTCAGCATAATGTGCAGCACTTAGGTAATATGGTAAAATAAGAACACTGCACATTGTTTTCCTGGGTTGCCATTGCAGTACATTAGCAGCACATGTTGTTCGTACTTTGGAATTTCTTACAAAATAACTTCAGCTGCAAAAAGTTAACAAAACAAATTTCGGTGCCGTAAAAATGAATAAAAGTTGTGATCTGAGTAAAAGTTGCGATTCCATTTCATTCCAAGCAAGGGCCTGGAATGAAATGCTACTACAGCCATTTTGCTGGTCTAGAATGAATGAAGAGCCTCAAAAATGAGCACACTAAGAGGAAAAACAACTGCCTTGCCGCCATTTTAAAAATATTGAATAATGCCGTGTCAATAAACAAACTAACCTCGTGGTTGAAAGTGGGGCAAATAATCCGACGGATAGACCATTTTCTCACGATGAGCAATAGTTCCACAGATAACCCCGTACTGGTTTTGTCCTCAAAGTGAGAGCAGGAGGAAATGAAAGAGCACATGACAGCTGGTGTACGTCATAATAAATATATTTCTTGCCACTAGATGGTGGTATTCTACTGAGGTTGATTGCATAGTGAACCTTTACTGAACCATGTAATAATAATAATGATATTATTTACCGCTTTGAAAAACGTAGTTAAAAAGTGCTTTACAGAATACAAAATAAAATATAACTGTAAAGAAATATATATATTATAGTTTTAATAAGTCTGTAATTCTCTGAAGTCCATTAAAATGGATAGGACATAGTGACCAGAAAGGTGTAAATGTCCAATACCAATTGAAATATCTATCTATTCAAATTTTATTCTGTTTTTAAATTTAAATATGGCATTATGCACCTAATGAATTAAACTGGGATATTAACACCTCAAACTTTCTCTTTTAACAAAAACAATTAGTGTAAGTAACAGCAATGGCACAGCATGTCCCAAAGCCACAACATGCCATTGCTGTTATTCACTCACAATGTTACAACTAATTAAACAAAACCTTAAAGGACGTCTGGTCTTCGCTTTTTTAATGCAACCAAGCGGCCATCCTTGGAATTCTTTACACAGCAGCCGTCAGCATGTGGACTATGGGCTCATTGCTAGAGAACTGCTGTATATGAGTAGATAGCCCGTCTCCTTGTTTCGCAATGGCTTTTAGTTTGGGGGGGGCGGGGGGGTTTGCCAGATCTTTCTGCCAGTCAGTTTGTATTTAGACGATGGCTTAAAGAAATCCTAAGCAACAGCATTTGATTCAGTCATATACCTGCTTCTAATTGTGAAGCCTGAGCAAGCAGACATTTGGTTTAGTTTAATATTCTATATCTCACACGTTTTAATGGATTTCCTCATTGTTAGCTATTTTATTGTATTCTGTAAAGCCCTTTGTACTTAATTCTCAAAATTATTTTCTTCTTCGTCTTCTCTTTTTCGTCCCACCCCGCCCTGATCTAATTTTAGTCATTGCTTTCAGTTTTGGTTAGTTTTACTTTTTCTTCTTGTTCCTGTGAAGGAATTCCTGCTAGGTATCATAAATCAAAAGCAAAAGTGGTGGCAGATAAATTGAAAATATCTATATTAATGTTGGTACATAACAACAGCCAAGACACAATGTGCTAGTGCTGGTATAGACTTACATTAAAATAGATGAGTAAATAACACCATGAGAGACCAGTTTATAATTTGATAATGCAACCAAAAACAATGCTATTTTTTTTCTTCCTCAAAGGTTGTCCCTGGATTTCAGCACAGCAGTATGTTGTCTTTGTGCTGCATTGTTACAGAACGTATGTAATGGTGAGTATTTGATTTAAAGTTATACTGTTTTAAGCTTCTTTCTTATTCATAAGGAGTCGCTACAGGAGCTCAGTCTGCATGTACAAGATGTCCTTCCTGAAGCAGCCGTCTCCCTTTTCCCCTGGTATGAAGCAGGGGATTTTTTAAAATGTTAGGTACTTGTGTTAATCATTACACTATGGGGCCACTCGTTTAAAGCTGTACAATTTACCCAAACAAAAACCAATGAACTAAAAAGTTTCATTTCTTGTTTGTCGCCTTCCTTTTTGCTCACTTTTTCCTCTGTATCACAAATTATAAATTCAACCAAAAGGTAAAGTAAAGTGCAAGGAAACATCATGCAAAAAGTGTTCCCTTGAGATTTATTTGAGATCACTTTGAAACAGAACAAAGGAAATACTGACAAGAAATGCTGTAAACCTTCTAGTGTGGTACCTAAAACTACAGCCAATGCTACAACCAGGATTTTAAACATATAGAGGTGAAATAGAAATCCATATACACTTAAATAATTATTCAGTGAAAATGTTGCACTGCTGCAGTGGCTAACACTATTGTCTAACAGCAAGACGTTCCTGGTTTGAATTTGCAAGCCAACTGAGGCCTTTGGGTATGGTTTGCTGTGGCTCTCTCAGGGTACTGTAGCTTCCTCCTACAGTTCAAAGAAATTCATAACAGATTAGCTGGTAATGCTAAAATGCCAATTGTTGTGAGTGTGACTAGTTGCCTGTCTCTGTGTTAGCCCAATGATAGATTGAGGGTAATGCATATGGATCTGTCCTGGACGTGTGTCTCTTCTCTTCCAATTACCCTGAATTGGACAAGTGGTTAACCCGAGTAAGTTTCAAATTATATAACAATCTTTTATTCAGTTAATATTGTTTTTCTCCTTCACAAAGGCAATGAATTAAAATCTGCTGGGGAAAGTCCAACTAGTTCTTACACATTTTTTGTTAGCCTGAAAACAATTAAGTATGAATCGACTGTAGTATAGAAATCGTGCTTTATAAACAACAAAGGGTTTTTCTTTTTAATCAAATTGTTTTGGGGGGTTTTGTGATACACCTTGCTAAAACCCAAAGTTTCAGCAACCCACCACATATTTATGATTTTTAGTAGTAGCAGCAAGGAAATCCTCAGTGCATTATATACAGTCATTCCAGTATAATCAGTGTGTTTTACTTTTATAATGACAGCACACACTACAGTAGAGAGCTTGTACATAATTTGCTTGTACACAATTTTGTATCGGTGTGATGTATGAATATATACTAGAGGGATTTCTGCTACCACATATTTATGATTTGACTCAATAGGAGTTGTATACCTGGTAGGTCACCACATTAGTTAGAAAACCACAACATTTTCATAGATTTACATTTGAAAGAAATAAGCTAAATAAGTCTCAAGTTGACTCCATGAATGTGAAATGAAGAAAAATAATAAGTGAACTGCAACCATGTTTTGAATCTCCTACAACACTTTTACAAAACTCTCTAAGCTGCAACTTATTGAAATATGACATCAAGAGAACAGTAGGATGAAGTTTGAAGCCACAAACGTTGAAATCTTTACAATAGACTGCTTCTACATACAGTCTTATATACAGTATATACATGTCCATATGTATACATGTATACATGCATATGGTAACCATAGCATTCAATTATAGAATCATTTTTACAAAGAAATGTTTCAAATGAATGAGAAATTGGTTGTAATAGAATTGAATATATGGAGAACAAAGTAAATGGCTTTATTATTACTGTTACACAGGCCAACTAGATACAAGATCAAGAACAGAGCCTTTAAAATTCAGAGTAAGTGTGAACACAACACGAGTTTTCTTATGTTGTTATGTTTTTTCTGGAATTTGCATTTAGAGCTTGTTTCTGTGCTGCCATGATTAGTGTCTCTGTGCTGTTTTTCAGTCCAGCTTTGTCCAGCCACTGGTAGGATTTCTGGATGTCAGCCATTTCCTCTATCCGCCAGTGGTACTTACCGTGCAGGGGCCTGTCCTTCCATGATGGCTCCTCCAGTTGCTACTCTACTTTACTGGGTTTCTGTTGCCTGAGGTATTCACTGAGTACATGGATGAGAAAACTCTTCATTGTCTCATCCTGGACAGTGGTTCTGAAACTCACCAGTACCAGGCATCATTCCTTACACTTAGCGTACTCAGTCTCAGAGTGCTGGACTGGGGTGATACCTTCCGTGCTTAGTCAGGAGCGTCTTTGTCTTCATGTCACTGGCTTCCATCTCCTTCTTTAGGCAGCTAACAAATTTCCCACGTGTGGGACTAATAAAGGTTATCTTATCTTATCTTATCTTATTATCCCAGCAGGGTACACAGCAAATCCAGCATGTCCAAATTAACACTGTCGGATTTGATTTCAACACTATTAAAGTGTCTATATGGGTCAACACCAGAGTGTTAATTTAACTCTTTTTGGAGAGTTGGTACGTTAACTCTGATTTAGTGTTAAACACCAAATCTGTCTGGAGTTGATAATTTAACACTTGGTGTTAAGAGTTTATATATTAACTCTCAAAGAGTATTTTAGTTTAACTACGTAAGAGTTATCTTCTAATTCATTCTAAAAAGCAGGAATTTTACTGTCCTGAACTTCTAGAAATTTCTTTTGGAAATAAACATTTACTAAA